AATATTTGCCAAAAAATGCTTGTAGTTTTTTCCCTCTTTTTGGGGTCCACCACCAGCCCCCAAATAAATACATAGGGACTTATTCTTACTTATAAGTGCCTGGCCTTAGCTTGGCTTGTTTCTAGCCGGCTTTTCTTAACTTAAATTTTCCCATCTACCTTTTGCCTCTTCTCTTCTCTATATCTTTCTTTCTTACTCCATCGCTGGCTGGGTGTCTGGGTGTCTGGGTGTCTGGGTGACTGGGTGTCTGGGTGGCTGGGTGTCTGGGTGTCTGGGTGACTGGGTGGCTGGGAGGCTGGGTGGCTGGGTGGCTGTCCCCTGGTGCCCTCCTCCCCTTATCCTTTTATCACTCCTCCTTCTCTTTTTTTCTCCGTCTGTTTATTCTCCCTGCCTGGCCGCCCCGCCTATTTCTCTCTCCTGCCTCAATATTGGTCAACCAGGTGTTTTAGACAGGCAAAGTAACACAACTTTACAGAGTTAAACAAATGTAACATAAAAGAATGCAACACATCTTTGCATCATTAATCAAATCCCACAGCATAAGAGAACACCTCTTTAACTAATCTTTAACTATTATTTCACAACAAATGCTTAGCAAGTTGGGACAAGGCTTGAGAAGGTCTGCTATGAGGTGCTCAACCTGTGTGTCATATCCAAGGTTCATTCAGGGTGCAGGACAAACACATGGTCATCTCTCAAGCCTACATTAGGTAACCAAACCCTTTGACAATTAGTAACCAAATGTGGGCTCTTTTAAGAACCTCAGGACAATCAGTCCTTAATAAAATAGCTGCAGTAATATCTCCTTTTTAAATTTATTTTGTGTATTTGTGTATGTCTGGATACATTTACTTCATATAAGTGGGTTTCTGGGATACATGCATGTCACATGTGTGGGTTTCTGAGGAGGCCAGTAGAAGGTGCTGAATTCCTTGAAGCTGGCTTATAGGCAATTGTGGGCTGCTCAGTGTGGGTGCTGGGAACTAAACTCAGCTCCTCTAATTATATTTCCAATATAATATCTTCTTCCTTCCAGGTTCATGCAAGGTAGGAAGCATCTCCAATACACATTGATTATAGAGCTGATTTGCATTGATGTAGATCAACCATTTGCTACAGTTTTGATTGATTGAAGTAGTATAATAAAGACCAGGCAGTATCTCCCTTTCATTAGTAAATATTTATGTCCGGGTGAAGGTTGAGCTATGCTCTCTCTATGCAGTCCTGTCTTTCTTGGAACTCACTCTCTAGACCAAGCTGAGCTCAAACTTACAGAGATTTTCCTGCTTCTGCCTACCAAGTGTTAGGATGAAAGGCCTACGCCACCATGTCCGGTTCATATCAATATTAAAATGCCATCTAACAGCCTTTGAACCTTGCATCTTCAAGTACACTGACAGTTTCTGGCCTAGACCTTCATCCTGTGGGTTTCTTCTTGGTCATGCATTAGAACCAACTGGAGGGAACGCTTAAAGTCAGTGATGTTGGTGCTGTGCCTGCAGACTAAGGATGTCAAAATCTCCAGAGGTGGGGTCCAGGCATCAGTATTTTTTAAAAGTTCCTGTATCCGTTACTTTGCTCATTACTGTGAAAAAGACCTGGAAGAAACAACTTCAGGGAACAGGGACTTATCCCAGCTCACAGTTTAAGGGGATACGGTCCGTTGTGTCGAGAAGGCGTGGTGGTGGAAACAGTTCACGGCTGTGGTAACAGGAGCATTCAGCGACTGGTTATATCATATCTGCAGTTAGGAAGAAGAAACCTTGGGCTAGAAGCAGAGCTGACTTGTAACTCATAAGCTCCGCCCCTCCAGCATTCCCTGCAACCCTCTTCCTCCAGCTAAATTCCATCTCCTAAAGGCATCACAACCTCCCACAACATCACCACCAGCTAGGAACCAAGCGTCCAAACATATGGGCCTGTTGGGGACTTTTTACACTGAAACAGTAATAGTCCCCTAGGTGGCTTTAGCCTATAGCCTACATTAAGAACGACAGCTTAACCCAAAACGTCATTAGTATTACATACTCTGTGCTGAGGTTTTTGTGAAAGAAATTATGCGTATCTTAGATTAGGGTTATCTGGAGGAGCACTTAAAACAAACAAACACAGCCCTCAGGAGGCAGAGGCAGGGAGATAGATGTTTGTGAGTTCAAGGCAATCCTGGTCTACACAGTGAGACTCCATCACAGACAAACAAACTCAACAAACCACACACACACACACACACACACACACACACACACACACACACACACACACACACACACACAAATATCAGAATCTCTTCCTGAGCCCAGGGATCTTACACATGTCTAGGTGGTTCTAACGTGCAATTGGAGTGAGGGACCATTGTAACGGAGATGCATGGTCCCAATAGCAGGAAGAGAACAGTTTCCCTGGCTCTTCTCTTGAGTGATGCGGAGGGGGTGGGGTGACCTATGCCAAGAAAACTTGTAGTGGGTCTATTTCTGTTCCTCAGGCTTCCGGCACACTGGCTCCCGGGGTCACTAGGCTGTCTCCAGTACCAACACCCTATCTCCTCAAACTTTCTTTCCTCAAGTTTCACCCTCTCCTCTCACACCTCTTTTAATATCACAAGCACCTGTCTGTAGCTCCTTAAAACCTACCAGGTTCTCAGGGGACCTTCTGGTGGGCGGGTGTGACGGTTAATTTCAACGGGGCTGGGAGGAGGAATGGTAAGCCAGATCCTGGAGGGCCATTTCTGCACGTGACTGTGAGGTTGGTTCCAGAGAAACTGGTATTTGACTCCACATAGTGAGTGGAGGTAGCCCTCATCCATGCGGGTAGGCATCACTCAGTCTGTGAGGGACAAAGCAGAGGGGGGAAAAGGCCTAATCAGGGTTATTATTTTTCTTTTTTCCCCAAAGATAGGTTTTCTCTGTGCAGCCCTGGCTGTCCTGGAATTCACTCTGTAGACCAGCCTGGCCCCGAACCCAGAGATCCCCCTTCCTCTGCCTCCCAAGTGCTGGGATTAAAGGCATGTGCCACCACCAGGACCATCGCCACCACCGCTGGGCTTTTATTGTCTTCTTGAGTGGAGACATCATCTTCTGCTACCCTTGCAGATCAGAATTCCCGGTTCCCAGGTCTTTGGGTTTCCAGCCACACGAACCAGCAAAGATAATAAATGGACACAGTAACAACAAAAAGACACAAGGCCAGCTAGTTTATTTTCTAAATGGATTGGAGTATAGAGTGTAGGCCTGTGTTATTAGGTCATCCAATCCGGAAGGTTTACTCTGAGGCAAGAATATCTCAAAGTTTTGACAAATGACTTAGAAGTTTTCCAACATCCATGGCATTCTGGGTGCTGTCCTGTTTCGGGCATTGTAGGGCAATTGTCCTACACCTAGACAGTGACTTCTGCTACCCTTGTCCTAGTCACAATGGCAATACTGTAAGACCCACCCCCACACCACATATCTAAATCTCTACAGTTCTCTGATAAACGCGGAGGTCACAGAGCTCTTGACCCCAATACGCTGCTCCAAAGGTGTTGCTGGTCCTCTGGGTTTTGACAATCTGACTTTTGAAATGTTCTGCTAATACAAGGCAGATATTTTTTTTTTTTTGGCTGGTTTGCATTTCGTCACTGAAACATTATTTCTAATATCTCTTACACTAATTAATGAGACGGGCGTGCAGCTTCAGCTTCGTACAGAGCTTCAGCTGGTGGTATTTAAAGCAACCACTCGTGTTTGGTGCTGTGCGCCTGGAGAGTTGGCTCCTGATTAGCGGCTTTCAAATGCTAACCAGCCACCACTGGGATGTGGATTCCTGATTAGGGCGCTTCAGAGATGAGTTTAATTCTTCCTAGGTTACGGGTTACCGTTTGTTTCTACCGAGATCCTGCTACCTCTGCTAAAATGTATTCTTGTAAGTGACAGATAAGAGCCTAAACCTCACTAAGTACACTAAGTGTGGTCTGGGTCCGGTGGAGGATTCCACAGGATATTTGGGAAAGCCTTAGAAAACACATAGAATGTCTACCTGTCCCAGTTTGCCAGGACTGAGGGGTGTCCTAAGACACGGAGTTTTCACTACAAAGCAGGAGAGAATGCCCAGGTCAAGGAGTAGATACCCTGACAGTGACTCTGCCTTCGGAAGACTATGTTAAGGAGCCAGGAAAAGTTAAGAGGGGTTGCTTGTGAAAATGTTAAGTCTCTAAGGAAGTTACAGAATTGGCAATGGGGGGTATGTTGAATGCCTCTTGGTATAGTCACTAATGGAAGCATTACAGCTCTGAACAGCCCATGTCAAGACACCATAGGCTGAGCTAAGTGACACCAATGTGTTCCCCCTGCGGCTGCTCTATGAGCACTGGCTGCTCCTTCAGAGACCCCGTGGTAGAGTCCCAGCCCCCATTTGGTGGGTCACAACCTTCTGTGACGCCGGTTCCAGGGAATCTGGTCTTCTGACACACATGAAGGCAAAACACCCATCCACACAACATAAACTTAAGTTAGAAACAGACACAAATCCGGCAGGACAAGGCCTCCCCCTTACAAACTCATTGGGTCACTTCCTTCCTTCAGATCTAATCACAGCAGGGGTTATGACTTCAGCATACAAACTGGGAAGTGGGGTACAGTCTGCAGCCTTCTCTGTGGCCACTGGGAAAGAGAAACGCGTTCACAAGGAACTTGTAATTGGGGTACAGATTCCTGCTTGACTTTTAACGACAACAGCGTGGATCACCGTACATAGGTTGGAGACGCTTCTCTGCAGTGGTTGGCTGTTAGTGCCGTGAATTATAACTGGGCACAGGGCTGACAGTGATTACTGGGTGCTCGGCCCTGAATGGGACTTCTGTGTTAATCCCTAACCCAAAGCTCAGGGTGCAAGAGGAGGCAGAAAGGATGTTGGATCTGGAGTTTGGGGAGGAGTGCTGAGAAATGCTGTCTCCTGGACACGGATGAGATCACTGCATCCATGAACTCACTGTAGCCATGGTTACCGGGGAGGGGTGTTGTGAAACGCTGTCTCCTAGACAGGATGAGATCACTGCACCCATGAACTCTCTGCAGCCATGGTTACCAGCATGGAATCAAGCCGCCAAGATCAGCCCTCACTTCAGCAGGCAGCACTGATGGGCCCCGGTGAGCTACAGAAGCAAAAAGGAGCAGACGTGAAGTGGGGGGTGGGTTATGTTGGGGGGACTTGGGAGGTGGTTATGTTGGGGGCTGTGGGGGTGGGAGAGAGGAAAACTGGGGCACGTGTTTAAGGCACATTGTTCACATGAATGAAACTGTCCGTAAATAAAGAAAAGACATTCCAATTTTAACAAGAGGAATTGGGAAAACTCACACACGTCCACAGGACGACTAGAAGACTTGTGGGGGAGACTTGCTGCGTGTTAGTAAGGGAGGTGACGTTTAGATTCTTCACCCTTTCTGTAGTTTTCAGTACTTTTTAAAATCTCAAACTTTGAAACATCGACATAGAATACATTTTAATTAAGAGAACTGCGTTTTAAAAATACAGCTCTCTCTAGGCGTTGTGGTGCATGTCTTTAACTGCAGCCCTCATGGGACAGAGGCAGGCAGGTCTCTCTGAGTCAGCTTGGTCTACGCAGGGAGTCCAAGATCCCATCCACAAACAAACAAACAAACAAACAAACTCAAGCTCTCCATAGATCACTGCCACTCCAGGGTACGGCATGTAGGAGAGGAAAAATAGAGCCTAAATTGTTGGCAGGTGGGCAAATTTATGTTCTCGTAAGTTGGAGTTGCAGGAGCCTTTGGCAACTTGACCAATTAAGCATCATTCCCTATGGAAACAGTCAATGTGTAAGCAGCTAGTATCCAGAGACACCCATCTGAGGACCCCAAGTTGCTTTTGAGCTCCATCACAGGCTGAGGGCAGCCGTGAAGAGTGACGCTGGACATAGCGTGGGCTTCAGAACACACTGTCAAGGCCCAGTCTTGGCAGGGCAGAAGTGAGGGGTGCCACCAGCCTCTATCCCCTGCTACTTCTGAGCAGAGCAGTGGCCGGAACAGGAAAGGAGTGTCTACTTGACTTCAGGAAAAGAGTGTCTACTTGACTTCGTGCGTTAGATCTGGTTTGGGTGCCTTTAGTTGCTAGAAGAATCTGCATGGCAAAAGTCAGCAGTTAGACAGCCACTCTCTCTTTCCCGTCTTCCACAAAAGGACATAAGGCACACTCGGGAGGGGCATGGATGCTGAGTGTGTTGACACTCTCAAATCCGAGCAGATTGTGAAGAAGATGGCGGTGGTGTCCGTGTAGCTTCACGATGAATGGAAACTCTCCATCTATCTCTGAGAGAACCAGCCCCAAGTTCAGCACCATCTCTCTTTGCTTTTGAGATTCAGTCCTTAAGCTCTTTCTCTTTTCTCTCTGGAAATGCGGCTCTATCTTACCCCACCCTACACAGCTTAGGGATTGAACGGCTTGGGTGATGCACACACACACACACACACACACACACACGGAAGCTGGGATCAGACAGGCCCCCGTACTTCGATGGAGACACACCAGCAGTCCAGAAACTCAAGGGGTCTATGGTATACAGCTTGGGGGAGGTGTGTTCGCTAATCGTGGTGGTGGTGGGGGAGCCTCTCTAGTTTCAAGCTGCCGTCACCGGAGGAGGAAGCTCTGACTGATACTTTACACACTGTCCAGACATCCTTTCTCCCATCTGGGCATGGCCGGCCCTGCCATTCTGCTGAGCCCGACCGAACACCTCAACATTCCCATGTCCCTGCCATGGCCGTGCTCACGTCCTGAATGCTTGCTCATGTAGTGATTATATTTGCTCCCTCCAGCTTCCCGGACTTGTAGGGGCTGCCAGCGCAGACTCCGGAGCGTGGATTCTCCGGGTCTTATTGTTCCCTCCAGAGGAGCTCTTGCTGTGTCTCTGAAACCTGCCTTGTGTATCACTTTCTCATCACCTGGGACTTACCTACTCTCGTGACCCCTGCCTCTGACATCTCTGGTGACCCTGGTTTCGTTTGTCACCTCCGTGTCCTTCTCAGGTTATGGGTTGCGAGGGCAGAGGCTCTCTTTTTCTGCTTGTGTGTGTGTGTGTGTGTGTGTGTGTGTGTGTGTGTGTGTCTCGGTAATGCACATGTACGTGTAAGTCGGCAGCCAACCTCAGGCATCATTCCTCTGGACATCAGCCACTTTCGTTTTGTGAGACAGGGTCTCTCATTTGGCCTGGGACACAAAAATTAGCCAACAGGCCTCAGAGAAGTGTCTGTCTCCATCTTCCCGGAGGTGGGATTACAAGTGCATGCCACCATGCCCACCTCTTTTTTTTTTTTTAATGTAGGTCCTCGTGGTTACAGAACAAACATCTTACCCATTGACCCATCACTTCAGCCCAGGAAAAAGGTTCCTCAAGGCCCAACGTAAGCTTCTGGAATTTATAGCCACAGAGCTCGAACCCAGATGTGGCCTGCGTTCCCCCAGGGTATGGAAAGCAATCTTAGCATCTTACCCGCTGATCCAGACCTCGAGCCAATCACGTGGCGTGTTCAGATGCTACAAGACTCTTCAGGACCCACAGTCATGTATTGTTTCGATCCCACTCCCTTCCCTTCTGCTGCTGAAGAAGGCACTGAAATACCCCACCCTCTCTCCCCCTCCTCAAAATAAATACTCCGCAACGTTCTGAAAATCTCCAGCAATTAGCTGGTACCATCACCTCTGATTAGCCACCGGCAAACGCGGTGGAGATAATAAAGCTTACCAGGAGGCAAGCATGAATAAACAGCAGCCTCTCAGTCTACTGGGGAAGTGGCCCTGGTGAGCCATTTAATAGTCACCATAACGGGATTGTGCAGGTTTTCTGTACACACACCACAGAGAACGTATTAAGTGTGCCTGAGCCATGAGAGAGCCTTAATGATTAATTTGCCATATGCTACTGGAAAACAATCTCAGTTTTTGACATACAGCACACATCTACATTTTCCCTTATTAATAAAACCATCAAGAAAATGTACTTTTCTTTCCATCTCACTAATGACTCCTGCAAACTCAGGCAGACGCCCAGGGACTGATCTTCTTTTTTTTTTTTTTTTAATTATATCTAAGTTCCCATGGACAATAGAACACACCTATTTACTCTCTTATTGTATATTTGATTTCAATTGTTGCTGATTGCTTTTTAATCATTTTTATTGGCTATTCCATGGTGACATCACAGGGAAGATAATTGTTATTCCTTTTTATTTACAGAGAAAAATGTCACTGGTGGGTTAAATGACATACCTGCAATTTGAGCTGAGGGGCTTTTGATAAGAGGCCAGCCCGTAAGTTCCCAGAAACACAGGAAGATCCCCTAAACCAACCGGTCTCCTTCTAAACAAAACCTGAATTTCCCTGGCACTCAACTTCCTGTTCTGTAAAATGGGCTTATCATGGGGCTTCGTTGTCAGGACTCAATAAAATGGCAGAAAGGGTAGGGCTTTGGGGATTGGACATATCTAAGGGACTTTAGTATGGGCAGATGGGATGGCCCCTTACTCCTGTCTGCACCAATGCACTTTTGTGATCCCCACACTGGTGAGGTGGAAGCAGGAGGGTCAGGAGTTCAAAGTCATCCTCAGCCACAAAGGGTTTTCAAGGACAGTCTGGGATTTGAGAGCTACTGTCCAGAGCAGAAAGCAACAAGGCCTTAAACAGCAATAACATGAGACCCTATGGAGTATAGGGACAGGGGCAGTAGATTTAGGGACAGGGGCAGTAACTTTAGAGAGAGGGCAGTTGCTTTAGGGTTCGGGGCAGTTGCTATAGGGACAGGCAGTTGCTTTAGGGACAGGAGCAGTAGCTTTGGGAGCAGGCCTCAGTTTAGCTTCACAGTTTAAAGGGATGAGGCTTTGCTGCTAAGGGCCCTGTGAGCAATGTGTTCACACCCAGGGCATCGCCCAGGCCCAGGGAGAGTGAGGTGTTCACACCCAGGGCATCTCCCAGGCCCAGGGGGAGTGAGGTGTTCACACCCAGGGCATCGCCCAGGCCCAGGGGGAGTGAGGTGTTCACACCCAGGGCATCGCCCAGGCCCAGGGGGAGTGAGGTGTTCATACCAACGGCATCATCGTCTAGGCCCAGGGAGAGAGATGTGTTCACACTCAGGGCATCGGCCAGGTCCAGGGATAGCGATGTGTTCACACCCAGGGCATTGCCCAGGTCCAAGGATAGCGATGTGTTCATACCCAGGGCATTGCCCAGGTCCAGGGATAGCGATGTGTTCACACCCAGGGCATCAGCCAGGTCCAGGGATAGCGATGTGTTCACACCCAGGGCATCAGCCAGGCCCAGGGATAGCGATGTGTTCACACCCAGGGCATCAGCCAGGCCCAGGGATAGCGATGTGTTCACACCCAGGGCATTGCCCAGGTCCAGGGATAGCGATGTGTTCACACCCAGGGCATCGCCCAGGCCCAGGGATAGTGATGTGTTCACACACAGTTCATCAACCAGGCCCAGGGATAGTGATGTGTTCACACCCAGTTCATCAGCCAGGCCCAGGGATAGCGATGTGTTCACACCCAGGGCATTGCCCAGGTCCAGGGATAGCGATGTGTTCACACCCAGGGCATCAGCCAGGCCCAGGGATAGCGATGTGTTCACACCCAGGGCATCAGCCAGGTCCAGGGATAGCGATGTGTTCACACCCAGGGCATCAGCCAGGCCCAGGGATAGCGATGTGTTCACACCCAGGGCATCAGCCAGGTCCAGGGATAGCGATGTGTTCACACCCAGGGCATCGGCCAGGACCAGGGAACACACCTAGATATGTTCTCCCTTTAACTATTCTTCATGCTACTACATTCCCATGGAAATAATTAGTTCCTCTCCTGAAGTGTGATGGGTTTTTCAGGATCCTGAATGTGTTTGTGACCAGCTGGGACTTTGTCCTCTTACTAGTTATCATTAAGGACAGTCGTGGTGTGCTGGCTAGTTTTACGTGGTCAACTTGACACAAGCTAAAGTCATCTGAGAGGAAGGAACCTCACTTAAGAAGATGCCTCCGTAAGATCAGGCTATAGGCAAGCCTGTACGGCATTTTCTTAATTGTGATTGATGGGGGAGAGCCACGCCCAACATGGGTGTGGTCCTTCCGGGGCTGGTCATCCTGGGTTCTCTTAAGAAAGCAGACTGAGCAAGCCAGTAGCTCTCCATGGCCTCTGCATCAGTTCCTGCCTCCAGGTTCCAGTCCTGTTTGAGCTCTGCCCCTGACTTCCTCCAGGGAGGAACAGCCATGTGGAAGTGGGAGCCAAACAAACCCTTTCCTCTCCAGGTTGCCTGGGTCATGGTGTTCACCACAGCAACTAACGTCCGGGGATGAGCACCAACAGCCAGGAAGTCCCAGGTCTATTAGTACCTTTGTAAAATCAGTAAAAGAACCAGACCTCTGAAGCAGGCACCGCTGAGGGAGTGGGGGGGGGGGGGCCACCTTACGAGACGCCGTTTTCTGACAGCGGCCGCGACGTGCAGACTAGACAGCTGTGTCTGGAATTCTCATCATTGGCTTCTCTGCTCATAAGACTAGGTGGCTCTCCTTGTCCTTTGTACCACACAGGAAGGAAAAATGGACTCACATTGCATGAATGACGTGTGGCGGGTCAAATTGAGGCTCCCAGAACCTACGCCTGAGTCCTAGCCCTTAGGGACCTATGGTTGTGACCTTATTTGGGGGGGGGGGAGATAAAGTCTTTGCAGTGTGTGCTTACTTGAAGGATTTTGAGGTGAGATCATTTTGGATTATCTGGGTGGGCCCCATGACAAAGGTCTTTTTTTTTTTTGAGACTTGATCTCACCATGTAGTTCAGACTGGCCTCAGCCTCCCAAGTGCTGGGATTGCAGACATGCAGCACCACACCCCGTAACAGAGAGAGAAGAGACAGGGCTTCACACATGAAGACACATGGGCAAGAAGGCTGCGGGGAGACAGGCAGGGGTGCAATTACACAGTCAGAGAGCATCAGCCTATGTCAACTGTCCCCCCAAGCTGTAAGAGGCCAGGAACAGCCTCTGCCCTGCAGCCTTGAGGACACCCCTGTGTGGTACTTCTGCTCTTCAGAGCTGCGAGAGAACAAATTCCTCTAGCATTAAGACATTACATGTGGCAGTGCTTTACAGCTTTGGAAATTTACTCAGGGTGTGTGTGTGGGGGGTAAGGGTGTGGTCTGATGAGGGTGGGGGGGTAAGGGTGTGGTCTGATGAGGGTGGGGGTTTGAGGGTGTTGATTGACAGGGCCGGGGGGTAACGGTATGGACTAATAGGAGGGATAAGGGTGAGGGTGTGGGCTGGTAAGAGGGGTAAGGGTGTAGAATGATGGGAGCTTTCACTTCTGAGCTGTAACTGAATCCCTTTGATAGTGTCTGAGATTAAGCATATTTCTTTATCCTGAGTGAACGACTCCCCCTCTTACCGCTATATATTTTTAGGACCTGCCTAGCTACAGCCTTATAGGAGGAATATAGTTTCTCCTGTTAACTGAAGAAACTTAAGGTAGTTCTTAAGAAACTGCTTTAAGCCAGACAGTGGTGCACACTTTTAATCCCAGCACTCGGGAGGCAGAGGCAGGCGGATTGCTGTGAGTTTAAGGCCAGCCTGGTTTATAGAGCGAGTTCCAGGACAGCAACCAGGACTACACAGAGAAACCTTGTCTTGAAAAAAGCAAAAACCAAACCAAAAAAACAAGACAAAAAACCACACAGCACAACCACAAAAACCTGCTTTAATCTCACACACACACACACACACACACACACACACACACACACACACACACACACGTCAGCCCCTCCCAGTTTGATAATAGAAAACAATATTTCTTCTACCCACATATCCTTACGATGGCACATCCAAGTCTTATGCACTTCTAAACTCAATCCCCAACCAAACCATCCTCCTTTGACGTGCCGGTAAGCAATGCCAACTTAACCACCCCACAGGCTTTATTTATCTTCCCGACACCGAGTCCAGAGCTTCCCTTCTGCTGAGCTAAGTCCGAGTTCCGCCCCACGCGCCAGGGTTTAAGAGCTGGTGATCCACACCCCATGCTAGGCTGCGGGCTCTGTGCAGTCTACTCTCTCCCCACTCAGCTCGGCTCTGGGCGCGCAGCAGATGCTCAGGAAGTGTCTATGAGCCCGAGTGACTGGCTGCGCTGGCTTTCCCAGGCAGAAGAGGATGCTAGGATCTCAGATTTAACACCGGACCAGTCCTGGACAAACCTAAACGGTTGGTCACCACAGCCAGCTGAATAGATAAAAAATTGCAACCGTTGTCCTGAGCCCGCTGATCTTGGGGATGTCATGACTTGAGCAAGTCTCCCACAGCAGGCAGGGTCCTTTGGTCTTGGTTTCACACAGCATCCTTTTCTAACTGTCAAACCCCTCAGGAGTCATTCTCCCCAGGCAGCCCTCTCCTCTGGCTGTCGCCTAACTAGTATGCTAGTTCTTATTACAGCTGGCATCCAGGGGCTCTTTGCTTAAAGCTCCAAATGTAAACCCAGGCTCCTCTCACACTAAAGTGGTCATCTCTCAGTTCTCTGACCGTGGGTTTCTCTTCTCATGCCCCTTAAGTGTTTCCTAGGACTCCGACCGCTACATTTCCTGGTAGCTGAAGAAGGGCGATGAGCAAACCCCCAAGAGGACACCTGCATGTGACCACTGGCTCCCTTTTCACACCCATTTTCAGCTACCTAAAACCCAGTTGATCCCTTCATCTGAACACATCTTAAGTCGGTCCCCTTCTCC